ATCCGTCTATCCCGGCCTCAGGCTAGGCGGTTACTCGGCTCAACCGGCTCAAGAGGCTCACTAACGACTGCCGGCGTCAAAGGCGGCGGCGAGGCGGCACGACCGTGCAGGGTGCTCTAAATCACCGGCGCCATTACGACGGGTATTGATCTCGGGTTCCGTTGGCAGTCTCCGTTTTGTGACGGAGCTGCCGTCAGCTGGTAAGGCCGTGGCCATCGGTCAATCGGGCTCGGCTGACGTCACGGTCCGGACCGACATCACGGTTTGGATCGATACCGCAGGTCGGATCGACGTCACTGTTCGGATCGATATTGCTCTTCGGATCGACATCACTGTTCGGATCGGTGTTGCTCTTCGGATCGAAATCGTAATTCGGATCGACATCACGGTTCGGATCGACGTGACGGTTCGGATCGACGCCACACATCGGATCGTGATTCCAGTTCGGCTCAACGTCACGGCTCTGTCACAGGTGTCCAGACCGGACATGCTGCAGTGCCTGACTTGTTGAGCCACGCCTCACCTGTCGTGGCTCGTTAGCTCACCAATCCCGGCTGCTCACTGATAGCGTGCTCCAGCAGGGCCAACCGTCAGAATGCGGCATGAGGCTGGACTCTCACGGCCTGCTCTCAGTCAGAGATGATTCGGACCCATCAGTCATCAGTCAGACATCACTCGGATCCATCAGTCATCAGACAGACATGACACGGACTCATCTCAGTTCTGGAACGTGCAGCTGGAGAGAAGCCAGCTGCCCTATACCGATACTCTGTCACTGAAGTAGCCAGCTGCTTTACACTGACACTCTGTCACTAAAGTAGCCAGCTGCCCTACACCGATGCTCTGTCACTAAAGTAGCCAGCTGCCCTACACTGATGCTCTGTCATTGAAGTAGCCAGCTGCCCTACACTGACGCTCTGTCACTGAGGAAAATCGTTCCATCGGCCTAGCTTCTGGTTTGTAATGAAGTGGAAGGCCGACAAGAAAATGCAAATTTGAACTAGCGGTCAATTTCCCAGCTGACCAGTGTCATGTGCCCATCGGTCGCGTATCTGATTCAGGAGGATAACAGGCCGCGCACAATTACCCGCATCTTACACGTGAAGCTGGTCACGCTCAAAACGTCAGTTATAACGAGGGAGAGCTGCCTTTCAGTGAAACGCATTCCATGACCACACGTGCCGAGCGTAAAATGAATTTCCTGCGCGAGCGGACATCACGATAGGAATATAAAATGCATTATCATGCTGGTCTACGAATCAAATAAGCCATGGATTCGACACGTAAATAGTTTTCTGAAGCCCCATGGACAGTCAGACGTCAAGCTCAACAGCTTGCTCTGCCCTCGCGGTCCATAAATGTAACGCTGCCTTACATCAACGCTGCGAGCAGTGCCTCTTCGCTTCATCGTTTCATCCTCCCACTCACTAAGTGCACCCGTAGGATCAGAGATGCATGGGTTCGCTACAGTCAGAGGTCCCTCTGGTTTGACAAGCACGAGTATCATTCCCAATAGCGCACGATACACATCACGGTTGTGGCTATTAGCGATGCATTTTGAATGCTGGCAAGGAGGCGAGAACGGTGACGAAACAAGCTGATGACGCGCCTCGAACCCACAACCTTCCTCTCATAAAGGCTACAGACCCATCACATGGCGTTCTACACATAACGATGCCATCACACATGACGTCCAACACATAACGATGCCATGATAGATAGCGAATTTAAGCGCCACTCCTCAGCGCGTTATCAAGACCGTGACGTAAGCGGCGCTGTCCCGCAGGCGGCGTTTGGTTGTGAAAGGGGTCCATAACTTCGGCCTGGGGAGGCATCGACCGTCCTTGAGCCCGCGGCCGTTCGACGGAATTAGGACATCGCCGAGGACCACACCTAGCGCCCCTGGTAACAGCCAGCAGGTCAGGATAGGTGACCTGCACGGTCAAGGCCGGTGCCTCACCACCGGGACCTGACCCGTCAGAAACAGTGGCTCAAATAGTTTGGTTTCTCTCCGCTGACTTCCGATTCTTTAAGAAGTTCTAACCCTTCTCTGAGCCGGTTTGCACTTGATTATACACAGTATACCTCGACTTCAAACTCATATAAACGCAAAAATAGTACAGAGCTGGAGTGATATTACTGTGTTCGAATGTCCAACCTTTGTTGGGTGGCTTACGTTAATCACGTCACGTCAGTCACGTCACGTCGGTCACGTCACGTCAGTCACCCCAGTCACGTCAGTCACTTCGTCACCTCAGTCACGTCACGTCAGTCACCTCGTCTGGCACAGGGAGACCAGACCGGCCGCTTACATCGACCCCAGCGAACGGTGGCCCGTTGGTCTTGTCGAGTCACCAGACCATAACACCTGACCCGAGCTGAAGTATCGAAGTCTGGCCTTTGTTCCGCGCGTATGCCTGTCTGTCTCCACGGCATGTATGGGCGGCTTAATGCTGCATTTGACATTCTACCACCTCCCTGTATACCTTTGGTAATTGCATCCAAAGTAATAGCATTGTCGGCAGATAGATGCATCTGAAAAAAACATTGCGTCAACTATCCACGCATAAATAGCATCGTAACATGACCAAGGCGTGTCATAACATCCGTGTCGTGATGAGCAGTGCTTTTTATCACTCATGTCATCGAGTTCAGCGGCGTTACTTCAACGCAATTCATAATTTACGGATGACTATTCACTGCAGGGCTACAGGCCGTGCGAAGGGCAAAATGCAACATACAAAGTCATGCTTTTTCCGAGCCAGCGAGGCCAGCGAAGTTCAACGTCCCCGGCATTCAATCATGATGAATATGCATGAGTTTGACACTCGGTCATTAACTGCCACCGCCGCCCAGCACATCCGGGACGCCCGCCACATTGGTCTAATGGCGGTGAATATCGATCAACTCAGGGGGAATTCTCTCTCCGTGCAGGCAATCCCACTAGGCGCCACACTGAAAGTAACTCATTTGAATTTATGCATCGCTAGGATTTTTGCGCGATGCGATCTCAAATGGCTTGTGAAAATTGGCAAACAAGAAAACCGTCATATGTGTATCGCTTTTTCGGAAGCTTCAGCTTGCACGCAGCCCATTGCGTAAGCCTTTGGATGTCATCACAGGTGGCGTCGCTGAAAATCACCAGAAAAATGCATTACTCACATCAGGAGCACGTGTTTACTTTTTTGCCCCGGGTTCAAAGTGTGGCAGGTACGCCTGCCACCTTTCCTTATACCGAGCAACAGCGGCAGGTTCCCCGCTTGTTTTTGCACGACAAACAATCCCTGATGGCAACACTTGGTTCAGCACTCAATAACACACCGTGCTCAGTTCCCAGAACCCGAGTCGGCTTCCTGGTACACCGGTCTGTCCTGGGCTCGAGCTGTAGCCTCACACGAGGCATCGAGCCCGCCGACCCAGACGCGGCTGCGGCGACCTCGCGCCGCGACAACGGCGCAAGGATCAATCCCGTCCCACAGTGACCTGCGCCCTGCTGGCAGTGGGTGAAGCGCTCTTCTGACCCGAGGCTCGTTCAATCGAGGGAGGAGATCAGGTAGACGTGCAGCAGCAACTGCACGACAGAGAATGCCGCCGGTATTGGTCCCACGTGCGGCGATAGCGCCGTCAGAACGGTCGCATCAGCTTGCTGGGCCATAAAATCTCCATTTAGGGCGAGCTGTAATCGAGGAATGCTAGCGACGCTTTGAGGAGATTGTTCCGTAGCAGCTGGTCTGATATTCATCATTTTTGGCCGATGGATGGCGCAGTTTCTGGCCCAGACTTAGCGATCCAGTCTGGGTCGTTCAAGTCGATTTTCATCCATTCGGTGATTCAACTTCATACCGTATTCATTTCATTGCAGAGAGGATAAGCATCGAGCGTGCTCAATCATGGCGATGGTTCGACGGCAGCACTTTAATAAATGTCGGAGGGAATATATATATATATATATATATATATATATATTGACTGCGTAACATGTGCTTGTTATCTTGTATGGCTTTGTGCAATATCTGCGCCAAACCTCTCGTGTTACAGTCAGGCTGAAACAAAGCTATCCAAAATTGGCCACTGTATTCGGTATCGTCGGAATAAAGTGAACACGAAAAGTTCTATTGAGCTTGATCGTGATACGAAAGGCTTAGAGTGAGCTGTCGAGTAAGGAAGAAGATAACGAGCGAATATTGCGCTGTCGTGTTGAGAAAAGTTTAATAGAAGGCCGCAAGCCGCGTTTGTAAATATTTACATGGGCATCCATAATATGTATATATATATATATATATATATATATATATATATATATATATATATATATATATATATATATATATAAATATATCACTGTTGCTCATGACCATGTCAGACGTACTTGCAGACAGCTTTCATGCCAGACCAAAACACTTTTGGCCTGACGCTTGGCCACTGGTTTGGGAGGCCTGATTCAGATCATGTCGTGCCAAGAGCCAAAAGAATGATCATCGCTCAGAGTAATGGCACATTCTTCGTCTGATTAATTTGTGTAAAGAACGATGAAGCATAAACATCACAGCTTTGGCATCAGCGATGCTAGCTGATCTAAGTAGAAAAGAATGTTGACTAAGTGTGAGCGAGTTATGAAGCAACAATGCCGGAAACAGGGACCAAAATGTATACAAAGTCCAGTTTGCACCCACATCCAAAACAAATATGAAGAGGGGAGTGGCGTCAGAGATGCATTTTACTGCATCGCCCGACCTCCTCTGGACGCGCAGGCATCTCTCGGTATCAGCACTTTCTAGGCTGATCAATCAGGTTAGATCCCTTCCCAAGGGCTTGCAGAAACCAACGACGGCAGGTACCCGAGCATCGCCTTCTGCGCAAGAGTCGTTTATCCGCGCGCGTGTTGTCTCCGCCGTCTCCCACCTGTCATGAGCTCCCACCTGTCATGAGCTCCCACCTGTCATGAGCTCCCACCTGTCATGAGCTCAGAGAAAGTCGTCGCGCCTGAGCGCGCCACCTACCTTTGAAGCGTCTGGATCAGGCTTCCTCTGCGCTGCTGCGAGCCACCGTAGAGCATGGTCTGCAGCACCATTGTGAAAAGAGTCACGTGACCTGGGGTCAGGGATGAACCGACACGCTTACTCGGCCGACGGTTCAGCGGAGCATGTCGGCGCCACGTTCCTGGACGTAAGCTGGGTCGCACACACGTCCTTGGCCTTAGTTGGGTCACACTTCCCCGGCTGGAGCTGGGTCACGAGTTCTTGACCTCAGCCTGGCGTCACGCTGCGGAGGCTCAGGAGGGAACAGCGAACACGGCCGTCCCGGCGGGGAGGGTGAGCTGGCTCGACCTCGTGCCGCCTGGGTCGACTCTGCCGCACCGGACGCCGCCGTGTGAAGTCGAGGGCGGTGCGACAGTGCAGGTTTTGGGGCCGACTCCGGCGATGAGGCGGAGGCTGGACGCCACTGGCCGCTTCTGGCGCAGATGTGGACTTCTCGTCAAGCAAAACGTGGGTGTGTGAGCAGTAAGAAGAGGTGTTGGACTTCCACACCAGACGCGCAACGGATAAAACAGGTCTTCAGTGCGCTGCGTCCCAGTGGAGTGCGGCGCTGATCCAGCAACTCGACGGGGGCTTGTGTCTTTGGTGACAGTCAAGTTTTCGGCCTCATTCACGTCACCTCTAGTTTAACGCAATCACCGCCATCGTGTGAAGAGCTTCATCACCCGTAGACGGTCCCACAGGCAACACGACGACGATTTTTGCAAGCAGAAGTCTCTCACGTTCGCAACAGAACCGCTTACACAACGGAGGCAACAGCAGCCAGAAGTCGGTCTGGGCGTGGTGCTATGGAACCGCTTCACTACGTCCGCTAGCCCTGAAAATGTTCAGCAGAAGCTTGATGGTCACCGGAGCCAACGCTTGTTCCCTCACGGCCGAGTCCAACTTCAGCTGCAGAAAAAAGACGTTCACTTAAGTTGCCTTTTTCGTATAGGCGATTGTTCACTTTCACCACAGGCAAAGAAAGACAAACGTCCAATTGTGATCCTTAACGCTTGTTCAGCTCCACTTCCACCGCGCTACGCCGAATCCAATCACCACAGTTCACAAGCGGTTCCTGGACCGTAACGCACAGCCCAGTTCGCTCCACTGCAGACAGCTGACCGCTAACCACTGGGGCCTGGCGTGACGCCGCTCGTCACTCCTCGCGCGGCTGTGGAGGACTGTCGTCGCGCGGCTGCAGGACGGGTGATGTGTGCCGGGCCGCGTCACTCGCCCGTCTGCCGGCCGGCCGCGTGGCGGCCACCGCTCGTGGGGGGGGGGGGGGGGGGCGTGCCGCCGGGGTCAGTCGGCCCGCCTGCCCCGCGGGCACGTGCGAGGTCACCCCGTCGCTTTCCTTTCACCGGCCGGAGGACGGTCCAGACAGACCGCGGGGCGGTCGGAGACGACGACGGGACCTGGTTGGCGACGCCGCAGTCACGGCGGGGCGGCCGCGCACGCGCACAGACTCGCTCGTGCGACTCCAACACCGCTGGTCGCGGCAGGGCGCGGAGTCGCCGCTAACGCAGCAGAAGACGCGCTCGGCGCGGTGGCAGCAGAAGTCAGCAGAAGACGCGCTGCACGCGCGGCGCCAGCAGATCGGCGGACGTGGGCGCCTGCGGACAACGTCACAGCCGTTAGTCCGATCCTGACAGACGCCGTCAGCCTACCAGTGCCGGTCGGACGAAGACAACTGGCCGCCGGCAGACGTTGCGGTCGACTGGACCGACCGACAGACGCACGGCCATCCCACGAACGGCCGAACCAGGCCTGTCGATGACCCACATGTGCACGCTTAGCGTGCGCGCAGTATTCCCTATTCAGTGCCCGGGCCAGGGGTGTATTTGATAGGATTGTCGCGATCCAGGTCAATCAATGCAACGACCTTTTGGAGGCGGTCACACTTGTTGTTCCTCGAAGCGGCCCAGCGCGTGGAGGTCTGATTACCCTCGACGCCCTCGTCAGTAGTGGCACACTCATAACCGCGCCGCCTGAATTCATAACGTTAGAACGCTGCTGTTTTGTAGGATATTGGTAATGAAATGGTACCCTGATTGCAAAGGACGAGGACATGCTTGATGGATTTGCTGATACTATGCTCCCTAGTTTCTGCAGGTTCATATGCCCCGTAGCAGCAGTGTTTGCTGTACATGTATAAGTGCTTGTAGCTGGAGGAATACCATACCAATGATTTATCACATAATTCAGCTCTAGGAACCATGCACATTTGTAACCCAATCTCCGCACACACGCTCAGTCAGCACCTTCCACCTTCAGCATCCCCCCAAGTTTACCCCACTGCTGATTGAAACTCGCGAACAAACTAGCCACGCCTCCCCAAATGTGGTAAGTTAGGACTACAATTGTTAGCATTAGCACCGTAACTAACGCTGCGAGTTGTGGCATACGTCAGATATGCAAAACGCCCGAGGGTTGTTACGAGCGAGGCTGCAGGCCAGGCGAGGCGCTGCCCGAACTGCGAGCAGATTTTCATCTTGACTGGAGCGGCTCGACTCGGCGCAGGCGTTGACGATGAGCCCACACGCCACAATTTCACTTCCCCCACCCGATTAGCACGCAAGAAGTGGAATAGTTAATTTGGGACGAGCTGAAGAACACAAGTCGAAATCAGGGCAATCAGTAATCAGAGTCACAATCAGCGAATCTTGATGAGCCGGCGTTGCAGCGGCAAACGACTAACGTAGTTTGACCGATGAAAAACCGGGCAGTCGTACCGGCGAAGTGGGACGCGGTGCGAGCAGACGGTCACACGCTCTTGCGTGCAAACGAGAAATATGCCCATTTCGTGTTTTTGGGGGTTTTGTTTCCTTCGGAGATGAGGATGCTGCACTAGCTGCACGGTTTAATGTTGGCTATAATTCGCTGGCAAATAGGAACACTCTCCATCCCATGCGTTCGTCAGTATTCCAGCGGAAAGCTCCGATGCCACCTCTTCGGACATCATTCTCTTATAGAAGCCGCTTTGACCTAAGGTGAGGGAAATTGGGCTAAGCAATGTATACGGGAGTGAAGTCCTGCTAATGGCGAAAAATATCCACGCAAAAAGTTGGGCTTCTTTTTGTGATACCCTGACCACCATGCCACAGCCGTAAATCACAACAAATTAAGCACCTTCGTGAGCTGAGTAAAAGTTACCAACTCCGAACGACTTTTGCTGAAATTTAGCAAGGAAGGCTGCACAGTGAGCGTCTGTTTGTTACGCGTAGGGGTGGGAGTCAATTTGCCCCCCCCCCCCCTCCCCTCCCTGTACACTACTCCCTCCCTGGACTAGTGTAGTCGCAAACTTAGCACAGCTGTACACAATTAAATAACCAGTCTTTTGGTATTAAAAGTTAGGGGTACCCCGTAAGATCGCCGACGTATGGTAGGTCACAGTCAGGCCATGGCTGTCGGCAAAGGCAATTCCTATAAAATCGTTCAATCTGATGCGACAACGGTGTATTGGACGAGGCCGTACACTTTTTAGAAGACTTGTTTTACAGCGGGAGGATTAAATTTAGAATTGCGACTAAGTCCATTGATCTTAAGTCGGGTACGAATGTCAGGTCGAGGTGAAACTTTTTTTTACTTAAGAGCTTGGTTTGAGAAGTAGTTTTTGACGCTCATTTCTAATTTCTTGAACAAAGCGAGGTAAAAAAATGTGTCATTTAAGCCTCAGATTGGTGTTTTAGCGGTATGCCGCCTAGCGTAGGCCTTGTCATTTATTGAAATTCAGAAATCAAAACAATCTTGTGTGTTTTTGGTCACCGTGACCTTCTGAATGTCATCTAAGGTCGCTTAGCTTAAGTGAACGCCCTGAACCTTTTCCTTTGAACAGTTGAGACCAGGTAAAATATGGTTGCATAAGCAGTTCTCAGGAAAATTCGGACACGAACCTGGAATTGGACCTTATTTGATGCGAAGGTCACAAACTAGGGATCTAAAACTTGACGAAAGCAAACTCATATACGGGCATTTCTATCCTGCAAATTTGTTGTCTCTAGCTCTCTTAATTTATAAGATCTCAGGGCGTCGAATTGACCTCCGCTCGAGCGGCGTCACATTCAACCGGTTGCCCGTCCGCGCGTTAAGCTGTCATGAAAGGTGAAATTGCCAATGCATCGATGAAGCCCATTGCCGAAGGTGCTCAGCTCCGCGAAATCTAACATCATCCACACGGTGACTATCTTTAACTCTTACGTCTATCATCTGCTCGTTCGTCTTACCCCACAACAGGCATATAAGTGGCTTCAGCTTCCGTTTCTTATACATTTGACGAGGCCCACCGGGCATTGAGGATTTATCCGTCCCTATCCAGGAGCTCTTAGTGTTCGACTCCGGGGGTTCACGCCCAAGACCTGTCACGTTTGTGGTGTAAAGGAAGCCTTTTGCCAACCTTTTTGTGAAAATATTTGGCCAGCCTTTTCTGTTTTGCTGCCAGGCCAGCAAAAACGACACGGAAGCTGAAATGCTTAGCTGCGTCTTCTTCAGCCTGTTCGACTGATTTAGACGTCGGCTCTATTTCAAGGCCCTCACACTGGTGATCGTGTCGATCGCACTGCATTCACCACATTGGTGATCGTGTCGATCGCACTGCATTCGCCACATTGGTGATCGTGTCGATCGCACTGCATTCGCCACATTGGTGATCGTATCGTTCGCACTGCATTTGCCACACTGGTGATCGTGTCGATCGCACTGCATTCACCACATTGGTGATCGTGTCGATCGCACTGCATTCGCCACATTGGTGATCGTGTCGATCGCACTGCATTCGCCACATTGGTGATCGTATCGTTCGCACTGCATTTGCCACACTGGTGATCGTGTCGATCGCACTGCATTCACCACATTGGTGATCGTGTCGATCGCACTGCATTCGCCACATTGGTGATCGTATCGTTCGCACTGCATTTGCCACACTGGTGATCGTGTCGATCGCACTGCATTCACTACATTGGTTATCGTGTCGATCGCACAGCATTCACCACATTGGTGATCGTGTCGATCGCACAGCATTTGCCGCACTGGTGATCGTGTCGATCGTACTGCATTTGCTACACTAGTGATCGCGTCGATCGCACTGAATTCGCCACACTGGTGATCGTGTTGATCGCACCGCATTCGCCACACTGGTGATCGTGTCGACCGCACAGCATTCGCCACACTGGTGATCGTGTCGATTGCACTGCGTTCACGACACTGGTGATCGGGTCAGCATGCAGTTAAAACGCACTCGGAGGAAAATGGGGCGAGCGCGAACCCTACCATCGAAAACGGAAATAGATTTTGAATAATCGATGCGTAATAGGGGTGTTGACCACAAGAAAATGGGGCGAACGCGTCTACGCACCCTGCCACACTGGAAGCCAGAGTTCAGGTCAACACTCCCATTACGCATAGATTATTACGATTAATACGCAGCCTCGACGGTCGACGTTCAACGAGCTGCCACTGGCGTCGAAAACACCATCCCCTCCTGGTTGGCTGACCCAGTTGACACCTACACACAGGTCACCTGC